ATAGCATTTTTTACCTTCTACAACCTCTCCACCAAAGGATTTGAGACCAAAACTTCTCCCCTTAGTAGAGCAATTTTTGGGAGGTGATCAAGGCCTCCCAAGCCTTTTTTCGTGTAGGAGTGAGTGACCCGAGGAGGAAGAAGGGGGCTACAGCCATTTATACAATGGATATTTGTAGGGGCGGCTGGTGATTGAGCTATCCCTACAAATCGAATAGTAGGGGCGGTTGGTGATACGAGCCGCCTTTGTAGAGGCGGCTCACTCACCAGCCACCCCTACTATTTGATTTGTAGGGGCGGCTAGAATCGTGGGACCCTTGCTCGCCCACTGTAGGGGCGGTTGGTGATGGATCCATCCCTACAAAAAAATCCCCAATGCTAAAAATCATTTCTGTAGTAGTGTGACAACTGAATTCCACCATCAGTTTAAAATCGGCGCTCATAACCATGGCTATCACCGCCAATATTTCATTGTCAAAGGCCAATATCGAAGGTGATGGGGTTTCGAACAGATGGTGATGCCATTTCTGTAGTGTCAAGTCACGATCTTTGGTAGTCTTTTCCCTCAAATCCTTAATCTCCTTTTGTGCCTATTTGCTGTAATCCCTACAACAAACTTAGAGCACTTGTGCTTAGTAGGAACACAAATTGATCACCACTGGACATAGTGCAAGTTGCACGAACCAAAGCGTGACTCTTGACTACAACCACTACTACACAAATGATTTTGCGAGGCGGTGCCTTTTTATTAACGAAGGCGGTCACAAAATCCAACCGCTTCGTAAAATGCCAATGATTAACGAAAGTGGTCGATTTTATTTACTGAGTCGGTTGAAAAATGCCCACATCCAATAATTATTTTACAGAGGCGGTCATTTTAAGACAACCGCATCAAAAAATAGTTTATTTTCGATGATCGCCTCCATAAATCTATTTTTGGAGGTAGACACACTATAAGGCCCGCCTCCGAAAAAACTGGCCCAACTTGCAAAGCCCATATGTATCTCCTACCGGGCTCCTATATAAAGCAGACTTAGTGTTTCTCACTTCACTGCACTTCTCTCCCTCCCTCCCGATCGAGTCCCTCCCTCCTGACGGCGCGTCGCGCCCCCTTCACTCCCACGCCGCCCCTCTCACTCTGTCCCGACAGCGTCCCCTCCCTCCCCTCCTGACGGTGCCCCTCCCCATAGCCGGCGCCCTCTCCCACCTCCCCCGAGCTCCTCCATCGGCGGCGACGGTGTCTACGACGGTGGGGGCATGCACGGGGATCCTCCCGGCGGTGGATCCTGCAACGACCGTGCACGAGGGCACTCCTGGCGGCGGCAGCGCATCCTCGGTGGGCATAGGTACAGGGGTGGCCTCACGATGGCGGCGGTGCATCGGATTTCCCCGAAGCACGGCCGTGGCGGCGCTCCTCCTTCAGATCCGGCTCATCACTCACCCGAGCAGTGGCGGCAACACTCTTCTCCCTCAGATCCGGCTTGCCCGAGGTCCTCTAGGCGGCTGCGAGCTAGATCCTGGTGGCACGGGGCGGATCCGATGACCCTGCAGGAGCAACGCCCTCTCTGCCTCTTACTCCCAACGGATCTCGTTGGCTAGTGGCGGATCCGGCACCGGTGCAGCCGGAGCACCTACTGCAGCAGATTTGGTGCCCTTCCTTACGTGCGGGGTGGTGGGGCCACGCCGCGGCGGCGGCGTGGGCACGGTGGGCTCAGTGGCGGATGGACTTGACGCCAGGCCTGGATGGGCTCACGTTTGGGCTCGGCTATTTTTTATTATTTTAATTTGATTTACGGAGGTGGGCAAAAGCAACTGCCTCCATAGGTCACTGATTAACCGTGACCTTTGATCGGAGGCGGTTGCAATGCCCGCCTCCATTAATCCTTTTTGCCCGCCTCCAATAAGATCTCTGTAGTAGTGTACTTGGTGCTATATAAAACCGACAAAATGGGATGGAATCAAACTTGTTTCCCTTCTTTATTTGTTGGGTGGGCCTAATAGAATAGGACTTGCCCTGTTTAATTGGAACATATGTCATATACGAGGAAAATATTTGAATATAGATTGTATGTGGTATAATTTTTCAATAAATATAGATCGTTGGATCATCATAAAATCTAACGATGCACACTCTTTTTATTACTCTCATAATTTCTATGCCCTTACGACCTCTTCAACTAATAATGATCTATTTTTTTTAATTCTTTTATTCAATAATCTTGGGAGTGCGTTGAGTTGTAATCAATTTGCCTGTGATCTCATCTTTCCTAATTTGATGTATTATCCCAATTTAGCTTATTTTTCATCGCTCCTATCATATCTGGACCATTAGCATTTGTCCAGCACAACAAATGGCACATAATATTTTAACCATTAATTAAAAATTATTTTAATACGTTTTATTAGTTTTTGCTTTGTAATAGAAATGGAATCACTACTACAGAACAGGCATTCACCGCCGACTCTAGACCCCCCATCACCACCGGTTTTGGCCCTCAGCAGTGTAAGTCGGCAGTGACGCCCATTGTCATTACTGCCAGTTACAAAACCGGCGGTGATGAAAACTTATCACCATCGGTTCGTGTTACCAGCCGATAGTGATAAGGATTTTTAAAAATAGCAATTTTTTTTAAATCCCAAGAAGGCCCCACCAACCAACCGCCGATTCGTATTACGAACCGTTCGTAAAAAGATTTTCACCACCGGTTGGTACCAGAAACCAGTGGTAGAAATGGGTCGACCATCACTACCGGTTGGTAACACAAACCGGCTGTAATGATAGGTTTATCACCGCCGGTTCGTGTTACTAGCCGGCAGTGATAACCACCTAAATTTTCAACAATGGTTCATAACACGAACCAGCGGTGAAAATCTTTTCACTAACGGTTCGTAATACGAACCGGCAGTGATGAGTATCACCACCGGTTTTTAGCAATCCAACGATGAAAGTGGCGGCGGTGATTACCCGTTACGTAGTAGAGAATATGAATACCTTTTGTCTTTAACACTAATTTTGGCTAGTTATTATTTGTACTTGAAATTGACTCTTTATTATTTATTGTACTCAATATTAACTATGAGCATATTTCGTCGAGTCTTTATTGTGTCGTGCATCGAGAAGGTTATCTATGATAATCCCCACAAGTGAGCGATCCTATTTCATGTAGTATTTTTGCTTTTTCTAGCAAGTAACCCACCACATTTCCTACACTACAACACATGTGCGGATCTATGGCCATATGTTTACATCATAAATCCTAGAAAATTTGTCACGATAGGGAATTCTATGTCGCTTGTGTCACGAAAATTGGTTCATAGATCATGCGTGTTAAACAATACTTTATGACAAAAACATGTTTTTTGTCATAGATGTTATGATAATCATTGTTTCATCATAAATTTGTGACACTTTATTTTTGTCACTATCTAATCTAACAAAGTCACTAAATGTATTGATACCTATTAAGTCCCATGTACTAGGCAGGCTATTAGTGGAATAAATCTAATTGTAGGTCTAGTTTGGTATGGGCCGAGCCATTTATGATGGATAAATTTGCACCAATTCTGGTCCAATTAAATTATATTCTACCCATCCGTGGACCTAAAGCCCAATTATTTCGCATTGTTGTTGGCCCAATGTTCATGATATACTGTTTTTGGCGCAATGGTCTTATATGCACCAAACCAACTATAATGTTCAGTACACACTTTAAAGCTCATTCAGAGAAATACATTAATTCAATAATGTATAAATAACATACCAAGAAAAAGAATATGTTCATAATATACATAACCAACGGCAAAAGATACAAAAAAATATAGGAAATAAAACAAACAAAATGGCACCCTACTTTGACAAAATCATCACGTATTAACAAGATCGATCTCAAAGATGTAGTAGTTGGAAGGGCATCGATACTTTAATTTTATAGGGGGTTTATCATATCACCGACAATGTATGAATATCACATAATATTGTGATAGCATGGCCTCTCTCCGTTCAATGAAAATCAACACATGCATATGACCGCCAACAAATGGGTTCTGGTGGCTGCTCCTAGGTAGGGATGAAAACGGATCGAACACGGACAGATATTAGTGATATTATATTTGTTTTCACATTTTTGTCCGGATTCGGATACGAATACGGATAGTGTCAACCATGCTGGATATGATACGATTGGATATCGACATTATAAATATGCGATTTGAGTATTCGGATACGAATACGGATACGGTATCGGATGTTGAATATCCAGACTCGGATACGGGTAGATCCAAACCTCTCTAAACGGGTTCGGTCTCGAATACGGTCGGAAAATATACGTACCGTTTTCACCTCTACTCCTAGGTGTCAGAATTTTGTCATCCCCTTCTAGACGCCAAGTCACCTTGCGATTGTACAGTATAATGTAGACACAATGTATGCATGCACATCCACTCCTACGAACGCACGCACGTCGTAAAACGAGCCATTTAGCCGGTCGCATAATGAGAAAGCAAAAACCGAGTACAGTACTCTGACCTCATAACGCTGTCCACTAAAACAATCTGACCTATAGCCAACCATGCAATTTTAATCTAGAAAAAAAAACACAAAGCACGGTTCTGACACCACTGCTACAGCATGCATCAGAGCCAAAATTAACTAGATACCGGCATTTATTTAACAACTGGTCCAGCCTTCTCTGCTTGATCGATTCTTCCATGATCCCCAGCAGGAGCTACACTATAGTACTACACTAGTACCATCAATCTCCATTCAATAACACAATATCGATCAGTTCACCATTCATGCACCGTGCAGCACCATAAACATATCATGGTTGATGACTTGATGGCCTCATCCTTTTTTTAGCACAATGCATGGCCTCATCTTCATCAGCCAAATCCATGAACCCTAGTCGTTGGTTAGGCTGCTACTACTTACCTTGCATGCAATGCAAGAGCCAAGAGTAGTGGAGCATAGTGCATGCGTTGGTCGTTTCGGATTTCGATCGCCTACTTCATTTCTGGGTCCAATGATCCCATGCCAATGCCCATGGCACCGTGCCGCAGCGGCAGCCCCGCCGCGCCACCCATGCTCCGCATGACGCCGCCGCCGACGCCGAGGAAGTCTCTCGTGCTCAGCTTGCTGTCGTCCATGCCCGGGAAGCCACCGCTGAACGCTGTGCCAGCTCCGCTCCCGTACGCTGCGAGCGTGTTCATCAGGTCCCGGAACTGGCTCTCGTTCTCGGCCTGGGAAGTGCTCCTCGACGAGGAGCTCTCCCCGGCCATGAACCCAGCTGCTCCGGCAGGCCTCCCGTTCAAGGTGCCGCCGCCGTTACCAAGCCCCCTGAGCAGAGAGTTCACGTTGCCGCTGCTCGTTGTCGCGCCCATCTGAGCGGCCTTCTGCAGCAGCGCCGTCGCTGACATCTGCGGCGGCGCGACGATCTCGGACGAGTTGTACAAGGAAGAAGAAAAACCGGCGCTGCTTGCCATTTGGTTTCCCAATAGGTTCCTGGAGAAGATGGCCGCTGACTCATTGTTGGCGCCGCTGTTGCCGTGCTCGCTGCCGTCGCCGCGGACGTTCCCGCCCACGGCGCCGTTGAACTGGTCCGGGAACACGAGGCGGGCGTCCTGTCCGCCTCTCCCGCCCGAGAAGAAACCCAGGTTGAGGAGGCCGTTACTCCCCGGCGGGTGCTGCTCAGGCAGCTGCATCAGGCCGTGGTAGGCCTGCTTGTTGCCGTGGAGCAGAGAGGTGTGGCTGGGCTGGCTCTGATGGCCGTCCTCGGCGCCGCCGAGGTAGAACGGAGAGGAAGACGATGATGTCGGTTGCGCGCCGCGGAACGCGTGGGAGCCGGTTGACGACTGCATGAGGTGCTCGAACTGCGCCGCCGGATTGCTGCCAATGGTGGTGGTGGCCGAGGAGTGGGCCTGGTCTTGGAAGGAGTGCAACTGATGGGAGGCGGCCATCCCAGAGAGGCCGAGGGCCATGCCGCCGGTGCCGTACATGCCGGCGCCGATGGGCGGCACCCGCGCACCCTCCTGCGCCAGTGCATCGCAGAACGCACGGTGGGTGATGAAGCTGTCCCTCCTGGAATGCCCAGCAAGTTGAGAAAAAACACATCAAATGCTAACTAGACAAGTAATCTTTGTAGACTGAATCTCATAAGAGAAAATCTACAAACGGAAATCAGTAGTTCTACGCAATAATGTGAGATAACAAGCATGTAGAATCTATCAAGGTTCAAGGGCCTCAAAAGAAAAAACTAACACAGCGCACTGGGGGAATACCAAATCTGCCATGGGAAAAATTGACTAGATTTGCATGTGTTATGAAATATCTCCTTGTGGAATTGTCTAGTCAATGTTTTAAATCCTCCGACTAAGGCATTTGGCAGATAGCCTCTCAAACAGTTAATAGCATAGCTAAATGAAGCTATAGCTTCTACGATCCGTTTGGTGCTGAGAATGTAACGCAACCGTAAATGATAATAGCCTGCGAACGTTACCGGCGGGACGCACATTTGAACTAATTTCAATAACGTTTACGTTACTTTGGAACCAACCAAACAGCACCTAAATTTGTGAACACAAATAACTTGGACCTGCCTCAAATTAAACAACTATATATAGCAAGCTATAGTGGCCGCTATACCCTAATATTTAAAACCATGGTTGATATGTAAATATGAATGCGAAGAGTTTAATCTTAACCAAGTGAACTTTATTAGTTAGTACTCCCTTGGTCCATGAATGTGTATGACATATATATTTTGACCGGGAAAATTCAAATTTTAAAATTTCAACCAACACAATTAGTCAAATTATATGTAAGTTTATTAGGATATAAAACTTGAATTATATTAATATATTTCTATTTTAAGTGCCTTTGAGATGATTTTTTTTGCAATTAGCAACATACTAAAAGACAAATTTAGAGTCAAAGACTAGTTTGCCGACTTTTTTATGACTAGTTTCATTCTCATGAAACTCATTTCACCTCACGAAACTTTGATTATCTCTCTCTTCATTTATATGGTGCTATATCAGCATATTTGGTAAGGGTCTGTTTGAGACTGCTCTGCTCCATCTTTCTCAGGTTTGTTCCCAACTTCGCTAGCCAAACAGATACAACTCATAAACTCTACTCCGAAAAAATAGGTGGAGTTGAGAGGTGTTTTGTGAAGCACCTAAAGGTGTACTCCAGAAACAACAGGTTTAATTTTTGTGGAGCTGCTCCATGGTGGGATCGGTGGAGTAGAGTTAGTGGTGCAATTCCAAACATACCTTAATTAAGTTGGTTGCTTATTTAATGTCTATGAAACTCCCATTGAGACGCTAAGTTGAGACTAGCCTAAAGCAAGTTTGAACTTGATTATTCCCGAGCTCTTCAGAAAATGGAAAAACTATAACAAAAATTAAGCTAGATTAATTTTGTGTGTTGCCAAAATTTCAAAATAAATTGAAATGATTTTCAGAATTTTTGTAGTTCCCTCTAGAAATTTATGAACTTAGGTGTATATAAGGGTGTGTCCCAAACAAATAGCTGGTGAAATTTCACTATACAGAGCACCCAGATAAAAATGTGACCATTGACTATCACCTAAGAAAAATTTCAGCCAACTTATGAACAGACCGAGCACAAATTGAAGAGCTAATTTGTCTTTCCGATGGAGAGCGTAGAAAGGGGAAGACCCCATGCATGACAGTATGAATAGTGCAATGTGTATTCAAGTTCAAGCCAAAGGCACAAATGGGATCGGAGATGTAAAACTGACGGAATTAAGGAATTAATTACCACGCCGCCCAACTAGAGCTAGCTAGGACGTACGTACACAAATGCTGACATGGAGAGATAGCAAGGAAGAAGAAGACTAGTAGCATGTGATGTGTTTTTACATGAACAGAAGCAAAGGAAGAATCCATGGCTCGCTTATGCTGAAATTTAGCTTTTGCTAATGCTTATACTAAAATGCTGCGAGAAAAAAACGCTTTCCATAACACGGCAGTGGCATCTATATCTATCCATGGATTCGCTCGCTGCTCGCATGCATGCAGTGTTTGCTAGAAATAAACGAGCAGGACTGTGGTGGCCGGGTGCGTGGGAGCAGAGACTGACGTAGACGACGACGACGACGACGCCATGAAAAGAATAGAGAGGGCCGGGGGGAGCAGCTGTCGCTGCATGCATGCGCGATGCATCCCATCCGGCCGTCACACTCACATGAGAACAGAACAGGCCAGACTGCCTGCTGCTGCTGCCACGGCCGTACGTGCAGCTCGCGAGACACGCATATGTCATCACGTGAACAGGTGGGGATCCATGTATCCATGGAGATGGATCACAGAGGCATGGAGAGGAAGAGAGAGAGAGGAGGCAGGCAGGCAGCCCAGGCCAGCAGGATGCGGATTCTGAGGCGAAAAAGGAGAATGGCTTTTGTTTTCTTCTCGAGCTCCCAAAACGACCAGGAGGCGCGCGCGACGGAGCTAGCAGTTCACGTGTGTTGTGACCCCGTTTCTTTCTCTCCCTACGGCCTACGCTGGTCGGGTCAGGATCAGGAGGATGGTCCAAAAAATCTCAAGCCATGTTTAGTTGCCCTAAATTCCAGAATTTAGCACTATATAAAAAGAAGATTCTCCGTCACATTAAATTTGCAGTATATGCATAAAGTACTGAATGTTGACGAAATCAAAAATTAATTACACAGTTTGGTTGTACTTTGAGAGACAAACGTTTTGAGTCTAATTAGTCAACGATGGGACAATTGTTACCAAATAAAAACAAAATGCTACAGCGCAACAGTGTCGCTACAGCACCTAGGATTCCGGCGGCGCCGAATCCGGGGCCGAACTAAACGCGGCCTCAAGCTAGCGCGCAAAAAATCTCAAGCCTTGTTTATATGATGGTTGAGAATCAGTATTTGACACTGTAGCACTTTCGTTTGTATTTGCCAATTATTGTCCAATCATGGCATAACTAGGCTCAAAAGATTTGTCTCGTAATTTACAATCAAATGTGTAATTAGTTATTTTTTTATCTACATTTAATACTCTATGTATGTGTCCAAAGATTTAATGTGATAAAGAGAGAGTGAAAAAACTTTGGAATCTAAACAAGGCCTCAATTTCCAAACAAGAAAGGCGCAAGCGCGACGCAACGAAGCACGGGCCGGCGCAGAAAGCCGGTAGCTTTGCTTGCTTTGCCGGCCGACCACCGGTGACAACCCTAACCCTAACTCCCATGCAAGTATCAAATCACCATGGATCCATCTGGCATGCCTTTCCGTGCCCTCCTCCCCATAGCGTCTGAAAGTCTGAATTTCATCATGACCCAATCATCATATACACAACCTACCCATGCATACTTTTATATATATAGAAAATCGGCAATTTCTCTCGAAAGCGAAGCACTGTGCTCTATTCCCTTGTACTCCTACTCCTATACATACAAGAATTAAATACTCGTACTGATCGATCCTGATGCATTGAACACTGAACACACACAGTGATATACGTACGTCGTCTAGAAGTGTAGAGAACAGAAGAGATGGAATAAACTGAACTGAATTCAAATTAAGTCCAAACAGTAGTAGTAGTACTACATACCTAGAGAAGAGGGTGCCGCAGTCGCAGCGGTACTCGCGGGTGCCGCAGGTCTTGGAGTGCGCCTTCCAGTCGGACTGCACGGCGTAGCGCTTGTTGCACTTGTCGCACTTCCACTTCTTCTCGCCGTGCTTGCGGCAGTAGTGCTTCTTGATCCCCGTGAGGTCGCCCAGCGCGCGCGACGGGTCGTGGTGCACGCACGTCGGCTCCGGGCACAGGTACACCCGCCGCCGCGTCTCCTTGGGGTTCTTCTGCTTCAGCTTCCACGGCAGGTTGTGGCCCCGCCGGTGCAGCTGCAGGTTCTGCTCCCGCTGGAACCCTTTGTTGCACACCTCGCACACGAACCGGTTCGTCGCCAGCAGCGTCTTCGGCGACAGCGCGATCACCTCCGCGTCAGGATCTGCTGCGGTATATATGCAGGCCGCCGGCACCATGGCCATGCAAGCGTGCGTACGTGTTTGTTAGTATTATCATCGTATGATTAATTGATTCCTAAACATCTACTACTATATACTAGTAGTATATAATTAGTTCATCAGATCGATCAGAGCTGTGGATTATAAATAAATGATGAACTGAATTATATTGCTAGACCCATCAAATAATTAAGGGGCCGGGGTACTTGCTTGGGTTACCGGGCTGATTCCTCTTCTTCTTGGGTGCCGGCGCTGCCGGGTTCGGAGGAGGAAGCGCCACCTGCTGATGCTGCTGCGGCGGCGGCTGCATCTGCATCTGCGCGTTGCCGAGTCCAAACAGGTGGGCAGACGAGGCAGCTGCCATGTTTGAAGCTGATCGGTCGATCGAGTGTACTGTATGTCGCTGTTCTTCTTCCCTCCCTCTTCTGGCGTACGTCCAACGACGACGACGACACGGACGGAGTATGTATAGCTAGCTAGCTAGCTACAGAAAGAAAGAAGGAAGCAGCAAGCGAGCTAAAAGAAGCCACCACCGGCCGGTCACACCGACTAGTCCAGTCACGCAGTGTGGCAGCAGCGTGACTGTGCCTGCGCGTGTACTACTTCTTGTTGGAAGCTAGCAGTCTACCAGCTGACTCTGTTGGCCTCCGGCCGGCTCCTTCTGCACGAGCGATCGATCTAAAAGACAAACGAGAGAAGAGAGGAAATGGTGTGAGGCAAGCAAGCTACACAAGCAAATCCATGCATCAGCTATGCATGTGTCTGTATATACATGATGTGTGTGTGTCAATCTATCTATCTATCTATCTATCTATCTATCTATCTATCAATCAATCAATCTATCTATCTATCTATCTATCTATCTATCTATCTATCTATCTATCTATCTATCTATCTATCTATCTATCTATCTATCTATCTATCTATCTATCTATCTATCCAGGAAGGATCGGATAGATATAGATAGATGATGCAAACAAGTAGCAGTACATGTACTACAACACACTGGAAAGAACTGGAGCTATATGCATACAAGCATGGACATGGACACGGATGGATCTGTGTGCCACAGAGGACAAAGTAGTTCTTCTCTGCTTGCAAAGAAACAAACAAATTAAAAGCGAGTGGTGGTGAAAAGGGAGATGATGATGAGGGCGGAGCGAGGAGGAAGAAAGTCCAAACAAACCTAGCTGCGGTTGTTGCACTCGCAAACAAGGAACAAAAGAGGAGAAGCTAGCTACTATAGCACAAGGGGAGCTACATACCTAGCTGGTGTATGTAGCTAGGGAGGCCATGGGAGAGCGAGAAGAAGAGAACATGGAGATGCATATGGATGCAAGAAACCAAATAAAGCATCATCAATCAACAAATAATAAACAGCATCGTCTCTATCTAATAACAAAGAGAGAGGAAACAATAAAAAGAACTAACAAGCAAATAAAAAAATCTTTTTTTGGAGGGGAAACAAGAGATGCATGGACAAATCATCGAAGTTACATCAAACACGAACCGGGTGATAATCAATTAATTCTGAAAGGTGATTGAGAACGAAGGGCCGCAGCTCTACGCGGATATCGTCGAAACGAAGCTAGCAACCAGAGCATGCGCCCCTCGAGATCTCTCCCCCTCCCTCTAGGAAGTAGGAACAAGGAAGGGAAAGGTTTTGTAGAGAAGGAGAAGGAGGACTGAGTGGTGGTTGGTTATGAGCACTTCTCTGTCGCCTCACACTACCATAATGCTCTCACACTTCGATGGCAAGGCATAGCGCTCGCTGATCTAACTAGGGAAACGGCTGCAGGGGTTGAGCCATCGACGACAGTGACCTGGATGGTGGGTCCCGCGTGTGCCCTGTATGGGACCACCTGAAGATGCTCATCCCTTTCATCTCCCCGGCCCGTCTCTCTCATTTCTCTTCTCTCTCTCTCTAGTTGATATTAGTAATAATTTGCTGTTGCTGCACATTCATATCCTGTAACTACGCTACCGGAAACGTCAAATTTATCGAGTGTTTTTTTTGTTTGCCGAGTGTATTCTCTCGGGCACTCGGCAAACAAGTTCCTTGCTGGGTGCTGCGCTAAAAACACTCGACAAAAAAAAACACTCGGTAAAGAGGAGATTTGCCGAGTGTAAAAAAAACACTCGGCAAATAGGAAGTTTGCCGAGTGTTTTTTTTGACACTCGGCAAAAAAATAAAATCTTTTTTCTGGGAGCGAAGGAGAAGAAAAAAATAAAAAAAAAACTTTGTCGAGTGCCCAGATCTAGGACACTCGGCAAAGAAAAAAAATATTTTTTCTAAGAAAGAAGGAGAAGAAGAAAAATGAAAAAAAACTTTGTCGAGTGCCCAGATCTAGGACACTCGGCAAAGGAAAAAAACCACTTAATTAACCGCCGTTGCCCCTCCCCTCCCTCCCCTCAGCTCCCCTCCCTCCTCCCCTTCCTCCTCCCAGATCTGCCCGCTCGCGCCCTCTCTCCCGGCCCCTTCCTCCCCTCCTCCTCCTCCGGCCCCTCCCTCCTCTCCGCGCCCTCCCCCTCCTCCTCCTCCCCGGATCCGGCCGCCCTTGCTCCTCCCTCCCTTCTTCCTCATGGCTCCTCCTCCCTCCCTTCTTCCCCACGGCCCACCCCCCCCTCCCCTTCTTCTTCCCCGTGGCGCCCTCTCCTCCCTTCTTCCCACGGCGTGGAGGGCCAAAGGCGAGCTCGAGTCGACAGATCCATGGCGGTGGTCCTTCGACGGCGGCTGGCATTGGATCCGGCAAGGAGGGCCAAGGCGAGCTCCACGGCGGCGGATCCATAGTGGGTGGGCCTCGCGACGGCGGCATGTGTCAGATCCGGCTGCTGGGGCTCGGATCCGGCGACGATGGGGTTGCGGCGGCCGACGTGGGTCTGAGGTAGGTCAGCTCTCCCCATCTCCCTCTCTTTTCCTCTCTTCATCTCACTCACTCTCTCCCTCGCCGGTGATCAGATCCACGACGGCGGCGGGCGGATCCGGTGGGGAGGTGCCCTCCGATGGCGGATCCGGCAGGGAGGAGCGCGCCGGCGGGCGGCGTGGTGGTGGCCGACGGCGGGGCGTGGTGGTGGTGGTGGTGGTGGTGGTGGCGGCGGTGGGGCGTGGTGGTGGCGGCGGCGGCGGGACTTGTTTTTTTTTATTTTTTCCCGAAAAATATTTGCCGAGTGTTTTTTTTTTACTCGGCATAGTTTTTGCCGAGTGCCCGACGTTTGACACTCGGCAAACAGCTCTTTGCCGATAAACGTTTTGCCGAGTGTTTTTGGGGCTTTAGCTCGTGTATCCCGTAGTGCTAAGGCTATGTGAGGGCATCATATGTGAAAATTCGACCTGAAACAGAGAAGTGATAGTAACTATATACACAGTATATATCACAGGACAGTATTAATGCTTGGTCTCTAGAGATGGATGGATGGCCCTGCTAGATAAACCATTGACCGAGAACCACAAGAATTCTTCCCTACTCTGTTGTTCCACACACGTCTCATCCATGTTCTACGCAATTCCTGACAGGGAGAAAAAGACATCGGAAGCCCATGGTAGTTTCTTCTCGTAGAATAGTGCTCCATTTGCAAAACATTCCGATTCCATACGTGCAGTCTTTTAACTAATTTTACTTTAGTCTTGGCTTCACCATTTCTTTATTATCTCTCTTATATCTCCCAAATTTGTAGACCAATTATATATATATACTTTCTATGCGAAATGAACTATATATACTATTTGTAAACGTATGAAATCATACTTTTAAACACTTATTTAGAACCAAAGATACATGCAAAACTGTTGATAGGAAGACTTAGGTCTGCTTGGTTCCACAATGAGATGTGAAAAACCTGGTGTGAGATGTGATGTTTGGTTGAAACAACTATGAAACCCACCCCCTCTCTTTATCTCCTTTGAAAAGTTGTAGAACATCTCTCTATTTTCACCAATTTGAAAAAGTAGAAAGCTAATAAAAGCCAAAATCAGGATCTAAGTGCAGCGAAAATTGTAGTACATGAAAGCAGCCGTTTCTGCAAAAGTAGCTTCAGGTTCCATTCATTTGGTTGGCGTTCTATTTTCCTTGATAGCTGAAAAACTTCCAAAAGATAAACCAAACACAACATTAATTTGATCAAAGCCTCCGTAAATTTGATTTGTCCGTGTTTGGATGCTCATCAATTATGTGTACTGCCTTCTCCTACCCGTTTCATCCAAAAACACCCCAAAAAGATCTACTTTCACATGCACGCCTATCCCATATAATAAGAGATTATTATAGATGCCGTGCAAACTAAGACAAATATACACTAATAATTAATTCGAATCATAAGATGCACTTAACACGTAGTACGCATCCATGACCTTTCTCTCACGACATTCTTTGTCACGTATTGCTTGTCAGGGGTCAGCAACCCATATAGCTCTATGATATAAAGTGTACTGTAAATTCCGTCGTGATTCGTTTTTGCATGATTGCATGTGATCCCTGAGAAATGCAGGACAAAACAAAAGACCATGCATGAATTGTTTAGATGAGTACTGCATGTGAGCAGCTGATCATTTCATCTCCCCAGGAATTCCAAATTCTAGCGCTAGATGACGACAGTGTGGGGAAACGGAAAACTACAACACGGGAATTACACGGTGGCTGACATGCCAAGTAAATGACAAGCCACGTACTGTTAACAATAATGATCTAGTATCGTGTTATATATACACATGCAGTACTCCACTACAGGACCAACTAACAATATGTTGCCAAACCTAGCTCTTGTCACGAAGCTGTACTAGCTACTCTCACTTCGAATCTTCTCTCTCTCATCTCTCTCTCAGCTCTCTCTCTCTATGTGTGTATCTCTCTCTCGATCTGTTGGGGGTGTGTACATCTCCATCAAGGATAAAAAGTTTTTTTTATAACGGCGGTCAGTTTTGTTATATCCTTTTTGAAAATTTAAATAAATAATTTGTATGTTTAAGTTATATACACAAGCAGATTGAAGTGTGTGTGCTAGCTAGATGAGCTCAATTATTGATCGATCTCAGGCATCTAAAAATCTGATTCAGTATATGTATGACAGCGACGAGTAGCTATATATGTAGGAGAGGTACTAAATGAAGGCAATATCGTATGGACATCTAGCATGCATTTGCCACCCATGCATTTGGGCCGACCTTATCTTGTTCGGCTGTTCTTCGATCATCTAGGAAAATATATTAAAGGTCACTAGTAGTAATATAATTCACAAGAAATAACAAATTTGTACTGGTCCTACTGCTAGCTTTAGTGGTTGGCAATGACCAATCTCCAGAGTCCAGACCACTTAGAAAATGCAGAAAAGAACATTTTTGATGGCATACATGTCGGCCTTGTGAGGTTA